CTGTGAAGGAGAGGACAGTTCCTAGGACGTGGTACCGGCTGAGACCACATTTGGAAAACTCAGTGCCAACCAGAGTTTGGGTACCTCTTAGAATATTCTAGATCCAGATTCTTTACTTTGTATCACCCACCTACACCAACAGTGTTTTTTAAAATATATTTCATGATGCATTGTTGATAATTTGAGTAAAGTTAATTTTTATGATGAGCCTTAAGTAGACCTTTTAGACACTAATTAATGGGTCTTCTGAATTGAGGTCTCTAATAGCATGAACTCATATTTCCTTGGATGAAGACCTCCCTTTGTGACAAGCAGATACACTACTTATAACCTGGACTAATTAGGGGTTAAAAGAAGTGATTGTAACTTAGAATTTAGATAAATCCCCATCATGTGAGCAAATAATATCTATTACTTCAATACCATGCCTTTCTCCTAATCCATTACCTGACAGGAACAGATTTGAATGTCCCTTCCTGAAACAGCAACACATTTGGTCCCATCATCAGAAATGCTTAGGGTTTCTGACTTTTTTTTTTTTTTTTAAGATTTTATTGGGGAATTTGGGGAGGGGAACAGACGAGTTGTTGTCTTTTTGTTCTTCAGTCTAGTTGTGGAGGATGTCGCTTCACTGGCCTATGTTGGTATTATCTTCCCAGGTGAGGCAGTGGCTGGCCGGCCATTGGACAGTTGCTCACGGCGGCTCATGGAATCTCACAAAGCTCACGCCCGCTGCCGGCCAGCCCCACTGCAGCCTACGCCGTCACCGGCGACTCACGGCAGCCCAGCTCCAGGTTGAGCTGTTGTTCACCATCTTAGCTGTAGAGGGCGCAGCATCGCTGGCCCTCATGTGGGATCCAAACCGGGGCCCTGCTGCTCAGAGCTGGCGTCCCAAGCCAACTCCTAACCAACGCGCCACTTGGCCGGCCCGGATTTCTGACTTTTTAAACTAGCAACTTTATACTGTTATCAAATGTTATGTTACCAACTCATATATAATAATGAATATATCAGCTGCTTCCTAACCTATGAATGAATTCCTTAACATTCTGGACTTCCTCATAGAAGGTTTCTAAAATAAGAAATTGACCACACTAAGTAGCCTTATAAGGCTGGGGAGGGGACAGGACGTGGGGGAGGCCTTCTGTACAAGTAGCTGGAATACAGGACGGGAACCAGGACACTCCCATGGGAACCTAAGTGAGGAAGATATTACATCTTGTCTGATGTTGGGAAGGCAAGGGGGTTAGGGGGTGCTGGCAGGTGAGTCTGGGAACCGGATGATGAAAGGATTTTGGCAGGCAGTGCATCAGAAAGCCGTGTGGAGAGAGCCACATAAGCAGATGCAAGAACATGGGAACAGGATGGCCTGGGGCCTGGCGCTGGCGTGGACCCAGCAGAGCTGTGAGAGGCTTACGCCTGAGCTTGGGCTCGGGGGCCAGTGCGTGTGCAGGAGGCTGCTGCGACTTCGGGCTGGGGGGCGGGGGTGCTCGTCACGCGGGAGGATGGAGGGAGCCGCCGACCCATCACAAGGAGCGTGTCCATTTGGGGCCAGAAATTTCCTGAAATGGATGATGTCAGCTTCTGCTTAAAGACATGGTGATAGTGCTGCTGTCAAATATGTGATGTGATCAGTTGTACGTAAATAGCCTGCTTAGGCTTATTAAATTTTACATTGCGTGTAGCACAAGTATAGTAAATTACCTATGTAAAAACGGTACTGGATTTCAGGTTATGCCAATAATTGCATTTTCATGGAGTCTACCACATTGAGGCTTATCGTTATGCGTGGAGTGCTTGTGGAGTAATAGAACACAGTAATTCCCTTCAGGCATGTGACTACTAGTTGAAAACACAAAGTAATAATCCAGTGAAGCCAGTTTATTGCTGGCTGTGGGACAAAGACACCTTCCTAGAGTGACAACTGAGTAACAAAAGCAAACTGACATGCAACAAAAAGTGTATGCAGGTTCTTGGTTTATTACGGAGAAGCACAGAGAGCTTTTCTCACTTTCTTCGTGTATCATTCTGTGATTTTAGAGTCCTGTTGTTACAGCTTGTCTAAATAAATGAGGGTTGTTTTTTTTTATTAATAGTAATCTTATCATACCAGAAATGGGGACGGAGGGCTTGATTTATTGTGTTAAAGTGTATTTTTGGTATTTTATTGTTTATATCAGTGTTACTAAAAGCACTGTATTACTAGTATTACTGCTAGATTGTTTTTTTTTGTCAAAGATGGTAGTAATTGATTATCTTATTAGAAGGACAATTTTTATTATCTAACTTACAAGGACAGTATTACATTACCAAAAACTAATGCTGTGTGAAAATGTAGTTAAGTGCTCATTCACACTAAAAACTGGTACAGTCATCCCTCCTTATTCACAGGGGAGATGTTCCAAAACCCCCGTGGATGGTACCGAACCCTGCATATACTGTGTGTTCCTGTCCACACCCACCGTGATAAAGCATAAGTTAGGCACTGTGCGAGAAGAGCAGCAGTAACTGAGAATAAAATACAGCGGTGTACTGCAGTAGAAGTGATGTGAGTGTAGCCTGTCCCATAACCAACCTGATAACAGCGGCACCTACTAAGTGACTCATGGGCGAGCAGCATGTATGTTGTGAAGATGCTGGACGAACGGACGGTCACGCGCTGCCCGCTCGGAGTGGCCCACAATGTAAAACTTAGCGCACTGTGTATTTCCAGAGTTTCCCACTCAATATTTCAGACGTTGGTTGACTGGGGAACTGGAAACGCGGGGCCCCGCGTAATGTGATGTAACTCCGTGAGCGTTGCTTTTATGTCACACAGAGAGCAGGAGAAAAGTAACTGTATTTTAGAACCTTTAAAAAAATCTGACAGGATACTAGCTATAAATGAGCATCATGTATCGGGTTGTCGGAAAAGTCATAACGTATTTTTTCTGTGTTTTTCATTGCAAAAATGCGTCATGACTGTTCCGACAACCCAATAGTATTAGCAGAAAAAGAGGAAGAGATGTCCTCAGTGCTCCAATCAGAAGTGTTACTATATTTGACAACTATGAAGAAAACCACGCTAGAATATAAGCTTCACAAGGGCGGGGGCGTTTGGTCTGTTTTGTTCATTGATGTGTATGCGCAGAGCTTAAGACAGCATATAGGCTTAGGGAGTATTTGTGGAATGATTGAAATTGTCATTTAAACAGCTGAGTGGTTGGGTTAAGCATTTAGTCGTAGATTGTGTAAGTTTGGAATTAGATTGTGTATGCAGGAATACCCACTCTTAACAGATGGGAACAGTGGGGGTTCACAAATAATTTCCCAGTGTGTGTCAGGTCCCGAGGTTCAGGGAAACACAGAATTGGCCTCAGTGAAGTCAGGTATAGAGGTGTGTTTATTGCTCTTTTGTTAAATTCACAAAGTTGCCATTTGTTAAGCGACTGCTATATATTTTTTATTCTGGAATTTTAGAATTACAGAAAAGTACAAGCTTTGCCAACTATTCCAATAATGTTTTGTTTGTTTTTTGTTTTTGATTTTATGGCGAAATGACCCAGGCGAGGATCACAGGTTGCACTTGGCTGTGAGTTGTGTTTGCCATGCTGGGTGGTTTCTAAGGGGCACCTGGTAGGCGCTGGGGGCTGCTGGGTCTGGGCAGGAGCTTGCCCACAGGTGACACGGTGGCTGTCGGTATGTAGATGGACACACAGGGCACTGCGGGGAGCACGTCAGAACACCTTGGCAGAGGTCTGGAGCTGGGTTGGGGCTTATAGAGAACTTCTAGAAACTCGACCCCAGACCATGGAACCACAGGAAGTCTGAAACACGCTGCCTCCCTGTCAACTGTTTTGTTAAACTGAGACATTCTGTACTGTTTTCCGAATGAGGCATGTAGTAGGCGTCTTCAGGCTCACAAAACAGTGACGTGCTATGTGCTGGGTTTCCCAGAGGGCAGAGGGGGCTGAGGCCTCAGCAGTGGTAGTCGGTGGGACCGTCCTCTCTCAACCTGTGCTGTTAACTACACAGAAAAGGAAGGGGTTTAATGGAAACTGTGATTCGAGTGTTATAGAATATTTGAGCTAAGTCATTTGTTGAAATCGTTATCTTTGTAACTTTCTCGGATACGGTCTTACATTTTTGCTTTTATGACACAGTATTTCACAGCTATTGAAGTAGTTGTGACCTAAGAGAAATACTCACTTGGAGAGGATTGGAGGTAAACAAATAGCCATGTGATATTTCATATGTGATGATGGCTCCAATAAATTATCCGAAACTTTGGTTTTTATGTTACAGTTGTAATGTCCAAGCAGGCGTTGGTCCTTCTGTAAAACAGTTGTGTGTGTGGCTTACGTCTGTCTCCCTGAAGCCCCGTGTCCTTCCGTGAGATGCCATGCAGGAAGCCAGTGCCATACTGTGTGGCTCAGGATTTGTTGAGGGTTGCAGCCGTGACCCTCCAACAGAGTACTTTCTGCCTGGTCTTCTCTTGCTACCTGAGTCTCTCTTGTCGGCCACAAGAGTGTCTTCCTGTGTAAATTGTGAACTACAGGTGTGAACAGAACAAGGGATGTAGGTAAATTTTGGAATGCAGAAGTCCTATAGCCAGTTGCTTTTGTGTGAAAGTGATGAACAGCATGTATCACGAGGGTAGTTTTTAGTTCACTGATCCTGTAGCTGTTCAGGACTGACCTTAAGTTACCTTTGGGACTCAGTCTAGCTTAGTCTTCAGCTGGTTTGGTAATAATTGACTGATTTCTCAGGAGTCATTTTTCTTAATTTGCAAACACAAAATGGGTGTGTTTCTTGTTGGTTTCCTTATATTTACCAAATAGACTATTAATTCTGTTAATACAGTTTTTATATTTCTAATTTTCTTATAAAAACAAGAACCGGGATTTCTGTTATAGTTATCTATGTACGTATTTTATGTTTTTAGTTTTGTTTTACTTCCCTGAGTATTGTATTCCTTACTGTATCTTCAATGCAGTGTTTCTTACCCTGTTTTTGTTTAGGGTGCTGGTCAAGATAAACTTGGAATCTATGTCAAGTCCGTTGTGAAAGGAGGTGCTGCAGATGTGGTTAGTATCGTTTTTAAAGATGTCAGTTCTCGGTGTATCTACTATTTAACAAATCACATGAGCTATTCCCCTGGTACTTTTGGTTACAAAGCACGAAGTGCTGTTTGCCGTACATACACACTAAATGTGCTGACCGTTGCCTTCCCCTCTCTCCCCTCCCTGTGCGGTCCCACCGCTGGACACACCTGTGTCTCTCGGTGCTGGGCCCAGGATGGCCGCTTAGCTGCCGGCGACCAGCTCCTCAGTGTGGATGGACGAAGCCTCGTAGGACTCTCTCAAGAAAGGTATCATTCATTTCTTTGTGTGAAGCATAATTTTAGCATGTTTAGGGATAGTTCACATTAAAGTTCACAATTGGAAGACGAAACTTAATTCCCAAAGGCCCTGCCCTTGCTCTGCCTTTTTAGGTGTGAAACTCTTAGTGTGCATGACGTTTCATTTGTTAGCAAAATATAAGTATGTATTTCAGTCTGTAGCAGTTTCTTTGAAGTTTTAAAAACAATTCTTAACACTTCCTGAAATTTCTATCATCTTATTATCCTGAATGTGATAACAGGACGTGTGTGTGTCATTAATTTATAAAGTAAAGGAATGGGCAGCAGGTAGTCTGGCCGAAGGGCAGAGCCGTTACTCAAAGCAGCAGAGGAGGCTGTAGGCCATGCTGCCTGTTGCCCTGGTCACAGGCGCCCATGGTGACAGAGCAGCACTGTGTTTCATTTTCTGTACGTTTGTACCACTCTCGTCCTAGGGCCGCAGAGCTCATGACAAGAACAAGCTCCGTGGTGACACTGGAGGTAGCGAAACAAGGAGCGATCTATCACGGTCTCGCCACCCTGCTCAGTCAGCCGTCTCCAGTGATGCAAAGACGTAAGGCCTTGCTGTGGAGGACAGGCTGTGTCTTCCATGGACTGCTCCAGCAGCAGCAGACTTAGCAATCACTCCCCACGTGGCAGGCAGGGACCCCCTTTAATATTACCAAAGCCCTGTGGAGCAGAGACTGTTGTGTGTAGTGCTAAGAGCCACCTGGCCTCACCGCCACAGGCCTGGAGGTGACCGCGGAGAGCGTCCCTGTGCCTGGCGTAGGGCGGCACTCAGTCAGCAAGTAAGCGGATGAATGAATTTTCAGTTTTCATAGGCAAACACGGGATATAAAGTCTTCAGAGAACACACAGAATTCCCTAGTGAAAGAAGGTTTAGGAATATGAGCAGTTATTTCAGTCCTGCATGTGCTGAATGGAATAGGACACATGATTATCTTGTATAGCTTTCACTTTAAATAAGAAGCTCACTTATTTGAATAAAGTAACTTGTTGATAGAAACGGTGGTTTTGTAGCTACATGAAAACTCTCAGAGCAAAATCAATATAAATGTAGGGCTTTTGAAAGAAATGAGTTCAGAAACCACAGGGGAGTACATCAGGACTCCTGTTATCTTTAAATCACACACTGCAAACTTCCCATCTCAGTCCTCACAGCCCACTTGCTAACTGCATGGCCGTGGAGTCCGGCCCTGACAGCTCTCAGCTCCATAGGTCAGCATTCTGGGAGCTTCAGAGCCCAGAGCCCAAAAGCCAGGCCTACTAGTAACAGAACAGCCACGGAAAATGTACCCAACACCCTGGACTGACTGTTTATTGAAGCAAAAAAGGTATCTTAAAAGCATGTATTGTACCATATGCCTTGACTCAGCGTGTTTTTTACTCGTTTCATAACACTTAATATGTTGGCTGTCTGACTTCTTAGTTTCATTTGAAAGAACCAGAGTAGAAAGAGTTAGAAACCAAAGAGGGAAACTTAAAAGTAGATAATAAATTGGGGTCACCAAGCAAGAAGCTAAGAAAACTAAAAAATAAAAGCTTGAATTGATGAAGATATCTTGAACGTACTTTGATTTCAGTTTCAGATCGCCGCGGCTCAGGGAAACCCCGACCAAAGAGTGAAGGTTTTGAGCTCTATAATAATTCAGCTCAGAATGGGTCTCCTGAGAGCCCTCAGCTGCCATGGGCAGAATATAGTGAACCAAAGAAATTACCTGGCGATGACAGACTACTGAAGAACAGAGCTGACCACCGCTCCAGCCCCAACGTAGCAAGTAAGAGAGTGACTGGCCCCCCTTCCCTCGCCCTGAGTTCTCATTCATGTACATGCGTGGTCACAGAGTGAGGAGGGGTGCTCTGGTTTAAGTTATTAAAACGGACGTGATGCCTGCCTGTGTTGGCTGGCTGGGGTCTGTTTTTCCTGAGGGATAGCAAAACAAATGTTCTTTTAACAGGAAATAAAATCTTAAGTTGGAAAACCTTTGATCAGTTGCTGCTCTAGGCAGGTACATTGGTAATGTCACTGGCAGCAGCTAGCATCCTACCAGAAGGAGCTCAGATGGTCCTTAGACTTTTAAAGGGCTCTTAAGAAAAAGAAGCAGTAGAAGAATGTGCAACTCTCAAGAGGTTCACAGTGCATGAAAGATCTGTTCTGTGGCCCTTGCCAAGACCATTAGCCCGTCGCTCGTCTGTGGGGAGACCTCGTGGCTCTGGGCCTTGGTTATCAGGGGACGGCCAGGCAGGATGAGCCCGAACCCCTCCCGTGCCTTATGTTCAGTTCTGTGCCAGACACCTCACTGGCAGAATGCCGACGCGTGGCACATGGTGACTGCCCTTAAAGAACGCTTGTCGGGTCCTGTCTTGTTTTATGTCATGTTACATTTCTTTCCCTGACTCTTTCCAACAGATCAGCCTCCCAGTCCTGGAGGGAAAAGTGCACCAGCCCCTGGGGCAGCAGCCAGGATAACGTCCGTCTCCACCGGAAACCTGTGCACGGAGGTCTGAGCCACACACCCACCAGCTTTTGTCACTAACACTTACCGTCCCTTAGAAGGCTGATGGTCCAGTATAGCTTTCACTCCACATATAGCATGTTTAGCATTTGTGAGCGTTTAACATGGTTATTCTTAGTATACTAGGTAAATTAGCTTTAAATTAGTAGGTCTGGGTAAAGCAGTTTTTTGTTGTGTATATATATATATATATATATATGGCACATTTATTACACACATACCGTGTTTCATTCTATACATGCTGTATTTTAAGAGAGACCATAGGAAACTACTAACTTAGCCTGTCGCAGCCTCTGCGGAAGCTCACTCTCCCCATGTGCTTCTCCAGGAGCAGCTGCCTCCTCCGCGCCCCGAGGCCTACCCCATCCCCACTCAGACGTACGCCAGAGAGTACTTCACCTTCCCTGCGTCCAAGGCCCAGGACCGGGCGGCTCCTCCTCAGAACCAGTGGCCAAACTATGAGGAGAAGCCACACGTGCACCTGGACAGCGGCCATCCCGGCATCGCGGCTCAGGTCAGAGGGGCTCCATGGGCAGCTGCAGGGTGCGAGCCGCGTGGGCCCTGAGACGTGCAGCTCCCTGTGCTGCAGCGCTGCTGGTGTCGGCGCTTTCCTTCACGGGTTTGTGGTTCACGGAGGCAAAGGGATAGATGGGAGCGAACACTGAATAGGAAAAGGGGCTCTTGGTCTCTTCACGTTGGATGAATGAAATGTTAGTGCTGTTAAGCCATAATTACAGTGGGTAAGGCGAGGTGTACCGACTCGAGGAGTGAGAAATGAGAACCCCGGTGATCACGGGGTAGCCATGGTCCCTGCCCATGAGGCAAAGAACGTGGCTGCAGAATAGACGCATAAATTAAATCAACACAGGCTAGTAAGTGCCGCTGAGTGACGGAGCTGTGCTCCCACGTGACATTCAGCTGCCGGAACAGAGGAGCTTTTGACCCAGGAAGAAGGCTCACAGCTGTGTGGCTAAACCAGAACCTCCAGTGTTCAG